AGAACGATGAGAACGAACTTCTTGTTTATTACATTAGCTACATTTGCTATTACGTAGATCCTATAGGTCATACTGGAACTAGTTCAGTTAACAATTATCTTGCAAACTTGAACTAGCTAGTTCAAGCCCCAAAACTGGAGGAAACATTAATTTATTTACAAGAAAGCAACAAAGTGTTAAAATCCATGAATTATTAACATAAATGTCAAGATTAAAAGGACCGCGATGTTTTCGTGAGTTATAATTCAGTTGCCGGTAAATGTCTAGGGTCGAACAGATGAATTTATTTGTTGTGAATCTAGATCAAGCTACTAATTTAAACAATAAATACCGTACTCCCAGGAGGTCAACGCGTCCTTGACGTTTTTACGACCTATTCAGCAAATCAGCGGATATTTGCATTTTAAAAATTGCTGTAATTACTTTTCGTAGCTCTTGATCAGTTTTAATCATGAGTACACCTAATCCTATTGTTTTTTTTATTGTTGACACCGACAATCGTCCTCAAGTGTGGTTATCTTGCATTTGCCTAGAATTTATCAAAATATCTTTAAAAACCTAAACTTTTAGCAGGTAAGGTTTTACATTGCCACATTCATTAAAAAAAGTACTAAAACATGATAACAATAATATAATAATTAGTAATAATTAAAAATTTATAATGCGCTTTTTCCATGCAAATATGATTAAACGCGTGTAACAACTGATGCTGTAAATGTTAAAATGAGCATAATAATCAAGGCTAAAAGTAAACAACCCTAAAATAAAATAAAGTTAAAAACACTAAATATATTACATAGTAAGTTAAAAACACTACATATCAAAAGCTAGTCTAAAAAGATACTTTTTAAGTAAAGATTTCAACCTTTCAAAAATTGTCCTCAAGACGGATGAAGGGGCAGATTGTTCCATAAATTAGGGGCCGCAGATGAAGAAGCACGATCCCCTAAAGTCTTTTTCAGTTTTAAACTAGGATACTTTAAGAAAAGACCGCTAGCTGAACGGAGATAGCGCGGCTGTTCTTTAATAGCAATCAAATGAATCAAGTAACCACGCCCATGACCGTAGATATATAGCTTTAAAAGTAAGAAGAAGTATTTTAAAATCAATACGAAATTTGACAGGAAGCCAATGTAACGAACATAGTACTGGTGCTCGAGGAACATTAGATCCGAATTAGATATAACCCGAGCAGCTGCATTCTGCAAACGTTGCATTTTAAGCAGACGGAACAGAGGGTAAACCAAATAGAAGGCTGTTGCATTAATCTAAGTATAGGATGCAGATTCCTGAGACAGATACTTTAGGATACGCCGAATATTGTATAAATAGAAAAACCCAGATTTGCAAGTTTTGTGGATCTGTTCCTGGAGATTCAGATTACAGTGACAAGAGCAACGTCAATGCTTCCTACGGTAAGGCTATCAATATTCAACTTTGGAATGTTGCTGTTTTGTACCAATCAACATGAACTCAGTTTTGTCATCATTAAGTTTGAGCTTATCCGTAAGCATATTCATACGAATGTCCGATATATAGCGTTCTATGGCAAGGACCGCATCGGTCTGATTAGTAGCCGAGCCAAGACTAAACGACAGCAGGTAAAGCTGAGTGTCATCAGCATAGGTAGGTGCCTCAGATAAATGGTATTTGATAACTTCAAAGAGTTTGCTGGAGTAAATGGTAAACAACAATGGCCCCAGACACGATCCTTGTGGAAAGCCATAAGGAAGCCTAAAACTGTCAGATGTAAAGCCATTTAGCGAGACTCGTGCGACCCGTTGTTAAGATAAGTCGTAAACCAATTCAGGGCGGTGCCATTAATTCCGATACTTGACTTAAGACGAACAAGCAGGATTTTGTGGTCAACAGTGTCGAACACGGAGCTCAAATCTACAGGAACTAGAAAGGTTACATGCTTGCAATTCTTACCCATGAGAATGCCATTCTAATAACAAAAGCCTACACAGAAGCTAAATGATTTCGTAAAAAAAAATGATAATAATAATTCAGAAGCATGCCTATGAGTTAAGGTAAAAAAAAAACAGCCCTATAGCTATATACTCGTTAAGGTCGTTTTCAGTTTGGGGTACCCATGTAATTCCGCCTCCTCCGCTCCGAATGCGAGATGCAATTCAATAACATTGAATAGTAAGTTGATATTTTCAATGATGCCGATAAGGTTATTAATAAATTCAGTGACTGGGGACATATTGGCAATCATTGGTATAAACATAACAGGCGGCCATTTAATATTGTCTTTCAAATAAATTTCTTTTATCAAATGACCTACAGCTGTAGTCCGATCTTCTAATGAAAGTACCCTTCTACTTCTACTAGAGGATTTAGCAACAACAATAACGACATATAATTTTGAACAACAGTAAAACGAGCAGTGATTTTTTCTGATCAAAGAAATGTTTAAAAAAATTTTCCCAAAACCGTATATTAATTGTTTTTCCCTTAATTATGTTACTTTGAAGTCCCCGCTCAATAAGAAGTTTTTATTTACTAGGAAGGAAATAATCCTCGGATAGAAGTCCATTAACAGATGGCTTAAAAAATCTTCAAAAATGCCGGTTGGCAATTAATCATTCTAGCCTAAATGATTGCTATAACCTAGGTAATCCTTTTAGTGAAAACAGATTTCCGTATGAGTAAGGGAGATTTAAAGTCAGTGAGAAACACTGAAGTAGAATAACTGCAAATAAACAGTCTAAGCATGGCGAGAGGAAAAAAATAAAATAAATTCAAATACTCAGGGAAGTAAAATCCGTAGACAGCCTGCAGGGAACGTAGCTCAAGAAAAAGAAATAAGTCATTGGTATATAATTGCATGATTGTTTTTCTGTCATGTTTGTTCTTATTAGTATTCTAGCCTTTTTTGTTTTTTTCTTCAGTGTTACTTCCGAAGCACAGTGGGATACCTGGAGCATAAACAAAAATTTGCATTTTCTTTTAAACAATTTTTTTTCAGAACAACAAACTGCAGTTGCTTATCATAAATTCATCCATCATTCAGTGTTGATGAGCTATGTTTGGTTGGGTTCCTACATGCAAGTGATCGAGAGTTGTCAGGTCATACGTGAGTAACTGGTAAAGCTCTGATTGTTTGCTCGATTGAATCTTGAGAGTATAATTCGTATGAACTGAGTATTGAGTCAAGAAACTTAGAGATGTTGCAGGCCAGTGAAGGTTCTTAGGCATGATCACAGATCAAATGCTGCATTAACACTCGAGTCTTATATTTAGTCTTACGTAACTTCATGAATTCAATAGCTAGTATATTTCTAACGACATGGGAATCTCTAAAGCCGTTTTCTTGAGTTGAATTACTAGATAAGGTCAAGATTCGAAATGAATCTAATTCTCCATGGCCGTAAACTCGAGTAATTGTTTAAGATTGGAATTGCAGAAGTTATATTTAAGTCATAAAAGATTCATAATTATCTAAATTTCGCTGTGCTTTGTTGACAAGTCCATTTGGCAGTTCAGCTGGTTAACAAATCTTCCGATATCGGCTACAAGTCGGCTATGAAGTCAGTCGTTCTAGTGTTTTACCCCACGGTAATAATATTAAACTACGTAGTTTCTGCGAAACTTAATTACAACTTTCCTACGAATTATATCGAAGTTCACAGAAATGTAAACGACCAGCCCGAAACATTTAGTTTTTCAAAGTTACTGCTGTTCATGATACTGCTAATACACTATAACAGATTTAAGAAATCATCTGGCTACCTCTAGCCGATACCCAGCGGTAAATAATTAAGAACGGCCTGATACCCAATCTCCCTGATTTGTTGGACCGTCAGACTGCGCCGACTGAAATGAATTTGGACACTGGTCTTAAGCTATCGAAGGCGCTCTACGCTTAAGATTATTGTTTATAATTGATTCAAGTGGGTAAGGTTCTTTTTTAAAGAGGGCTTTATTAAAAAAAGCTGCGTTGAAATGACCTCAGCTTTTGTTTTATTACTTAAATATTTTAAATGTGCGATGTTAATTCGAACCGCATGTGCTTAAAATTGATTTTGCTTATTTAATGACTGAATAATCAAAATCTGACGTTTTGATACTTGTCAAAGGTAATGATAACATGACTCGGTATAAATTCAGATTCTGAAACTCCTCATTTATTTTCTTTTCCCTCTCTAAGTGACAATGAAGGTACTATATTTGAGGGAAAAAAATTCTTGGAAAAACGGCTCCGTTTCATAGCAACCGTGCGAAAATTAACTCGTCCCTCCCGCCTGTGGGAGGCAAGGGACGAGAAATAAAAGAGAACAAAAACTTTTTGTTTCTAAAGAAGGAGCAGTAGGAAATATATACGCTAAACTTGTGAACCTGAATATGACACATTCTGCTTTTAAAACAGCCAGAGTTCTTTAAATAGCGCTTCCATTATAATTAATACTGTGGATGTTACATTTTTTCAGCGCACACGGTTGCTACATGTGTAGACTACGTACAATGACAGTGCTCACTTTCAGTTAACACGCAACAGGTTATCGTAGTTACGTGTACGCAACTTAAGCATTTTGAAAAAGCAAACAAACAGACTGGATGCAATAAGATTCTAACCTATGACATCTGCGATACCGATGAATCTTAATCTTAATTTTGGTATCAATTATTTCGAATCCAACTTTTCAATTATTTGGTGCAGAAGTAATTAAATAAGTTCAATGCGGCTAAACGTAACAATTAACTCGTAGTAAATTATTTGTCTGCACCACCCCTCCCCCGGAGAAACATTCCTCTCCAGGTCAGTCTCTTTAAAACCTGCATCTGCTCCCTAAAAATTAATTTTAATCCAGGCTATTAATTAGCGTAGAGACATCATATTCGTATAGGTAATATGTAGTGATGTTTGGCATAAATACCAAGAGTGACATTTCAAAATTGTTATACGTGTTTGAATAGACCGTCTTTTTGTTTTGAATTCAAAATACTTTGATTGTTACTTAGAAAATTCCTGGAATCTATTTGTACAGGGGATGGATGAAAAAGAGAAGAGCGAGATGAAAGAAAGCTCAGAGGAAACGTTCATATCATTAATAAAGGACTTCTGCGGTTACACTTCTGCGCATGGCCCTGAAAGAATTATGTCTGCAAAACAATGGATACGAAAAGCATTCTGGAGCTTGCTTTTTGTCGCCGCAATCACCGTGCTAGGAATTCAAGTTCGTACGTTGTACAACAAATACAAGAGTCGACCGCTTGTCACCTCAGTTACACTGGAGTCTGACACGGTAACGTACAGTAATGTCGAAGGTAGGGGGGAGGGGTGGGGGGCAGTTGGGTAGCGCAGTGGAGAATATAGGCGGGAGGGTAAGGGAGGCAGGAGAGGAGAAGACTGGAGGTGGGCGTTCTAAAAGGGTGGGAGGCTGGAGAAATAGGAGAACGTTACGCAACAACGCTTAATATTGCGCCTTCGAAAACATGCTCCAAAATGGGGAAGGAACCGGAAATGCAGGGTACTGAAGTCGGGAGGTATGGACTCCCCTGTCCCCCCTACGGAATTATTGAAGTCGCTTTAGTAAGGAGGGCAGGTTGAAGTGTTTGTGCAAATTTCGACTGCTGCAAGTCTTGCACTTCAATCCGGGATATCAGGACGATAACGATGACAACAACAATTGCGATGATAACATTAACGATAACAATAACGATATAGATGTCTGAGCTGAAGACAAAGATGAAGATATCAGAGCTATGATAATGGCGATGTCAGCATCGATGACGTTATGGATATGAATGCTAACACGATGACATTAATGATTAGAAAATGAGTGAAAACGATGACGAGGCTACAGTCAGTGACACTAAAGCTCATAACAATGATGGTAACCTCTGATAAATAAAAAAACTTTTGATAAACCGACTCGAACGAAAAAAAAGTTATATCACCGCCATTAGACTTAAGTACTTTAAAACTGTTGTGTTTATTTTTCTTACAGAGTCTTCCTTTTCCAGTTGTTACTATCTGCAATTTTAATGCTCTTAAATATGACTCGCTCCTCGAGAGCAACTTGACTGCTCTCAAAGCGACGTTCCCAGCACGAAGTAAGTTGGTTCAGGGTGATTTAATATTCGAATAATACGTTCTTTAAAGTGATGTATACCTGCTTGAGTTTTTGCATGATTTACAAGACCTCATCGCCCCGCCATGTGATGTAATCCAAGAAAGAATCCCGATTACCTTGTATGGAGCGAACCTCAATTCGGCGTTTAATTATATGCTTTCAACGCGCTGTGTGATTCAATGAATATAAATACATCCAACGGATGAAGAAAGTTGACCGCTAATTTAGGGCAGTGCAGCTTATCATATATGAAACCAGCAACATATCATATTATTGAATGTCAATGCGAAATAATCAGCATGTCTTCACATTTCTTCACCGAGCCTGAAATTTACCATCTTTCATTCTTTCGCCATATCATCTTATTCTAATCTTCTTACATTTCGCAGATGCCTCATCCTCCCAGCAACGAAGAAGGCGTCGATCAACAGACGATTCTGGAAGCGCTTCTCCGACCACCGATCCCACAAACAACGAAGATTATGAGAATTGGTATGACTGGGAAGGGGAGGACTCTGTTGACTACGACGCAGAATACTTGGCGACTGAAAAAGTGGCTCTTCTCATGGCGGAAGAAGATAAAAGTGTTCTTTCGTCTCTCGGTCATCAGTTCGAAGATATGGTATTGTCGTGTACCTTCCGAGGAATTCAATGCAGGTACTGTACATATCTGTACTTTTTTAAGGCAGGATTATGCAACCGGTTCGCTGAGCTAGGTAATTTGCTCGTTTGTCAGTTATTTTTGTTTTCAAGTTGTTCCCAATTTTAAAAGAAAACTTAATTTTAAGATTTATATATATTTTTTTACTTAGCAACTTCACAGATAGATTTTGGTCCAAATATTGGCACTACAAATATGGAAACTGCTATGTTTTCAATAGCGAATTAACAAGCTCTGGAGCAAAAAGGAAACTTTTGATATCAAACAAGGCGGGTCCTTCTCATGGTGAGTTTTCTATTTGGTTGTGTTGAAGTTATAGACGAATTTCTCGACATTGGAAGGTTTTCTCCCAACCGTTCACGGAAGCCTCTGTTCTTGCAAAAGTTGCCTCAATGTTCCTTAAACGTTGAACTACACTTACGTAACTCTCAGAAGTATCGTATGGGTATAAGATGCTTTAGCAATGTATGATGGGCTGCAAACGTGCAGTATTTCAAGTTACAATTTGTTACATCTTTGTGTGTTCATTTGCTGCTTTTGATCACATCGGTCTTATTAGTTTTCTGCGTATGATCTTATAGTAACTTTTGTCCTATCCTCAGGTCTTAACCTTGAGTTAAACATTGAACAGGATGAATACCTTGATTCCTTCACACCAGAAGCAGGGGTTCGGGTCGACATTACCAATCAGGGACAAATGCCTTTTCCATTGGAAAGAGGGCTTAGCCTAGCACCAGGCTTTGCAACAGCAATTGGCCTAAGAAAGGTTTGAAGAGTCTTTTGTTATCTTTATTAACGTCTGTGGCTTGGATCAGCAGCTTTCGTCGTAGGGTTAATCTCACCCCAGCTTGTAACGTCTACGTAGCGCTCAGATCCTTGTTATGCTTGGCCCCAAAACGAACTCAACAAATTCTCTAGGTGTGCGCGTTTCGAATTCCCCTTTAAGCTAGTTGGAGAATCGACAATGACCTTTTTGACAGGCCAATCATGAAACATACGAACAAGGGTAAGTGGGCTGGCCTCTCAGACGGACTTAACCAAAGGTTAAACGCAGGCTAGACCTGAATATTAAGACTATGACCATGAAATCGACAGATTGATAGCGCATCTAAAATTTCCAAGAGTAGTAGTGTACCAACCATACGCATTGTTCCATATATAGTCAATAGGAAATCAACTCTTCACAACGCGTGCTTCAGTTTTGTTACCTGCTAAACCGCAGTGGATCGTACTGTGAAACCTGATTTTTATTTTCTTTGTTGCCTTTTTTTGCGACAGGTCATCATCCAACGAGAAGATCCTTTTAGAAACGACCGCTGTCACAAAAACACCACTGTACATAAATCCCTTGATTTGTACAACAGAATGTTTAACGCAACATACTCGGCAACGGTGAGATATGGTCATGTCAGTGTCAGCGATTTTCCCATTTATTGTACTATAGAAGTGATGTTTCTTAGTTGGCTGGAATCATATTTGTATTTTCATTTTGTCTCGCTCATTTTCGATACAGTTTTGTTTTCATTTAAAGGCCTGTAAGGAGTCTTGCCTCGCTGCAAATCAGTTTGGAATTTGTGGCTGCATGGAGTACAAATTTCCCGTTGACAAAGAACCATTGTGCGACATAACTAACAGATCTGTCAGTAAGTGCAAACAGTTTTGTTATATTCCTAGAATTTCACTCAACTAAACAGGGACTGCCATTGGTTGATTCTTGGTCACGTGGCCTTGACTAAAATCAAATGTATCCCGATCGTGATACATTAAACAATGTATCCCGCTCGGGATACATTGCAGCACGTGATCAAAGCATGGTGGAAAGTGGCGTGACAGAAGGCGGGAAAAACACTGCCAGGTTGCCAGTTTTCTTTTTCGTGAATGAACACAACAACACAATCACGAAGCCTCAAGCTAAAAAGCAACGATTTTTAAAGTTATCCCAGAAGTTCCCAGAAGAAAAACAGCAGCTAGTGGCGGAAAAAGATGCAGATGATATAAGGAAAGTACTTTTGTTTGTAAATCATTCATTCAGTGGTTTTGAGAATTAAATTTGTGTTGTTATAAGTACCAAGTCGACTGTTTTGGTTCGTTTTCGTTCGCTCCGGTTATTCTTTTGTTGCTGTTGAAGTGAAAGTTCTAGAAATATAACAAAACACTTAATGTCAGATCCCTCGGGAAACCAGTTAGTTTTGTTTTCCCTCGAGTCCTGATGTTTCCCTCGACTTCGTCTCGGGAAACATCAGGACTCTCGGGAAAACAAAACTAACTGTTTCCCTTGGGATCTGACATTAAGTGTATAATGTGCAGGGGTTATGGGCACACGGCCACACTTAAGCGTCCGTCATTGCTCAATGTCCTTATTTTCTCACAGGCTTACAACCTGTAAACGTTAGTGGCGTTTTGATTACTTGAAACCAAGAGAAATTCTACAATCATCGTCATTTGCAATTTCTTGAGGCTTAAGCAAATTTTTTCTGAGTTGACGTCGGTATTTTTCAACCAGACGGAGGCTCAAGCGCGCGAAACAGTTTCGCCTTCACTCTGTCAGTTGAATAATTTATAGCCCTGAACGATCTGTGACTATTTCAAAAAGTTGTCATGATTAAGAGACTGATAAGACAGTTGTATTTTGAAAAGATTTTAGTCTATGAGTACCATGAAGAACATTAAGTGAGCCGGCACAGCTTCTATCTAGAAAACGAACAGTGACCAATTCACCTAACCTTATTGTGCGAATAATTACATGGCTAGATTTAGGAGGCGGCCGTGCGCTAGTTCCGATCAGCGCTTAACTCGGCTGGGCAGAAAATTTGCGCATTGACGTTGTTTATCGCAATGTACACAATAGATGTGGCAGAATGATCACTTGATAAAGAAACTTGATTTTCCTTACAGATATCTGCCTTAACAAGGTGCAAAAATTATTTAGAGAGAGTAAACTTAACTGCAGCAGCTCTTCTTGTCCACCACCCTGCTGGTAAGCAAATGTTTTGAACGGTATCTAAATCAGTCCAGGAACAACGACTTGAATGTAAATAGATCGATTTCCTGTTGGTTATATGTAATTGTTCCTTAAAAAAAAAAAAAAACAGCGGTCATTAATAGCAGACCAACGTCGCTTTGTTAGTCAACTCTAATATACAAAATTTGTATATTTGCAATGCTGGTGCAAGGTGTCATTTTTTTTGCATCATGCTTCGAATTAAGTAAACCGAGGACACCAATAACAGCCGTAAGGTGACATTGATCTTTACAAACGCCTTGCCCATGAGGAAGTTTAGGCATCTTCACTTGCTTTTATTAGCAATTTTTCGGCCTCGGTGGATAACACCCCCCAATATCTGCTTAATTCTTCATATCCTACGAAAGCCGAAATCATTAATTGCTTTATTATTCATTCAAAATAATTCCTAGTTTAAAAACATAGCTAAAACATGCTTACATGCATCGATGTTAAGTTCATCTTCGATAGTGCACGTTTAGGTTTGTCCAGCTCTGCAAATATTCTCCAAATAGTAGATGCTGCCCTCCGAGTTGTCTTTTTGCTGTTTTTGCCATGTTTTTAGCTATTATTTTGCCTAGTTCCAGCTGTAGTTCTTACTCTTGAAACGAGTGAAATGTCCGCCATTTTTTTTATACAACCAAACAACTCAACCTCGTCCCCAGGTCTTCTCGGTAACGGTGCCTTAACCTGTAGCGGGCTGCACTTTTGACGTCATTTCCTCGTTAAACACAAGATTCTTCCAAATTTGGTCATCAGTAGCTGGTTATGGAGAATTTTTAGCCAATCAGAATTGGGGAAATATTTTTAATGAATAATGATATATATTAATTCGTCTTATATAACTTTTAGAAGTTTTAGACATTGTAACTAGGTTTTTCCGCTCTTTGAAACTGATTGTAAATTACAATTAATAATTCCTATTGGAATATTTGAACAAACTTATTGTATTGTGACAGAAAAAAGTTCATGTTTTAACACTGATATTACTGCGAATTGCCTATGGAGAAAATGAGATTGGACAGAGTGGTATTGAGATAATTAGCTGAACTTTGTGGTTGCTCGGCGTTTTTTGGCTTCAAAATTACTGTTCTTCCCCTTTAATTTTAAGGCAGGAAGAATTCAAGATAAGTTCCTCATTTGCTGCTTGGCCGGCGGAAAACTATGAGGTACTAGTTGCTTCAATTATTTATAAAAGGATAGACGCATCGAGAATGTTGAACATTACATACATTAAAAGAAATGAGGTCAGCGATAAGCAAAACATGAAAACATTTTCCTCTTTGTAGATAGGTTCCTGTTAAGTTTTCCTCCAATTTTTTTACGCCTCAATTATTTTTGAGTATGTTAAGCTTTCAAGTGCTGGCAGCTTAATTGTATTGCTACTGCCGATTGGAAAGGAATTGTATGTTGATTTATATGCATACCGATTTTATTTCAGTACTTCTTTCAAAATGAACTCGAAAAACGTGGGAAGTATGTGTGGTCAGACGATGAAAGCTCCATGAGGTAAAAGACATTATTTTGTTACTATTGGCAAATAAAGTATGTTATTACTCTTTATACAATGATGTGAATGCTACGCGCGTTGTGATTGGTCGTCGCCCATGATCTATCAGAGTACAGATACATAGATGACGTCACGCGAAGCTTGGTTTGTTTGTTTTGTTCAACATGGCGCGCGGTTTTGAAAATGTTTGTGAGATTATTTCGGATTAAAGCAAGTGAAATCCTCGAAAAAAGTTCAACAGAAGCTATTTACAAGAAACAAAAATGGAGAAACGGGGACAAAAAGAGCTCTTGACTACTTTAGAATGCCTAAACTACAAGAAATTGTCACAACAGCTGCCATCTTGTTTCATCGCTATGAGAGAATCGCCGTTTTGCAAAATGTTTTCGCCATTATTCCGCTTTGAGCAAGAAAAGGCGTTGAGAAACTTTTCAAAGAAACTGTATATAATTAACATAAAGTAGAAAAAAAAAAAGAAAGAAACAGAGACGAAAAGTAGCGCTTGGGACTTAACAAGTGCCTAAACTAGCACAAATCCTTGAACAGTCAAGCGGTGCGAGGCAGGCGTTTGTGTCGGTCTTTTTTCTTTTCTGATCATTGTATAAAAGAAATAGATTTCATGTTGCCGTGGGTCTGTTCAGTAATAGATCACATAGGACGTCAAAATGTGGTAAAAACAACAGTGACACACTCCGCCTGCGGCTCGTGTGCCACTTCATTGTTTTTACCACATTTTGACGTCATCTGTGATCTATTACTGAACAGAGGCACGGCAACATGGAATCTATTTGTTAAGTAGTTTTTTTTCAATAGTAAAGGTAAAGTTATTCAGTTTACGGCAATTGCACCAACCCGAGACCAGGCTCCTAGATGGGGAAAAATGGGCGGCCCAATTCCCTGGCTCAGTCTCCAGCCCTGGGTATCTTTATGCGCCCGCGATTCTTCGCACCTCACCTGGGGAGAATAGCGTGGGCATCGAGACACCCTCGACCCTCTTTCTTCGCTAAGGAGCCTGGTCCCCAGCTTCAAATACACGTGCTTTTAGGACAAAGTTTCATAGCTTTACGAGGGTCATTAGTATGAAGTTCTCCAATCACGTTTGCATGAAAGCCAACGCGCGCGAACAAACTGAAAAGCCACCTGATTAGTTTGTAAACAGAAACGTGCTGAAGGTAAAGGTGTTCTTCGAAGAACTTAAGTTTGTAAATATGTGTGCCAATTGCTTTCCAGGAAAAACGTATTGAAGGTGCAAGTGTTTTTCGAAGAACTTAATGTAGAGTACATAGCAGAAAGGATCTCCTATGAAGTAAGTGATCGAGTTTCTTTTTTTAATTGTAATTATGGTAAAGGATTGTTTGCTTTTTTAAAATATATAGAACTTTATTTTTAAAGTAAAAGGAGCCTTAGTTAGGTGATACTCGATTTAAAGCCTCGTAATCGTCATGAATAATAAATAGAGAGAACTAAATTCAGAAAGAGATTTCTTATACTAAGTAGTGCGCGCGAGTGCACTTTTGGTGAGAAAACGCGATAGCTGCAGGGGCGCATCAGAAAACATGGGCATGATTTTAGTCGATCCAATTTTTCTACCCTTTTAGTCTGTTCAGCTGATTTGGGTAGACTTTAAAACATTTGTTCCCCAACCACGTCAAATTTTATAGTTTTTTGTTTAAGCACAAGGTTTCCCCTCGGTGGTTTGTGTAAACGATAGGCAACCAAGTTTTATTTTTATCACTTTGCGATCGGAAGAGGGCTAAACCGCTTTTTAATGAAAATAAACGTGCTGATTTTTATTTGCGGGGTGTCTATTTTTTTACGCATTCTCCCTCATCCTCGAATCTAAAAGTCTCTATTAAACTAGTGAATGGCCTTAAATTTGAAAATCCGGGCATTAAAGCAAGTACTGCCCAGTACATCGTCCAAGTTAATGATTAATATGTGTCATGCGTGATAGTGAATAGCTTATGAACTACCATTGTTTATCAATTCTCTCCCATAGCTTCCTGATTTTGCTTCAGACATTGGTGGTCAGCTAGGTCTATGGATTGGTTTCTCTGTGCTCACCATTGCTGAGTTCATTGAATTTGTGATGTTGATTATTTTACTGGCAATAAGAAAGTGCTCATCACGTGGAAGTAAAGTCAAGTCAGCTTCATTAGAAATGGAAAAAGTAAACCCTCATTCAAACGAAGCACTTAAATTCAAATAACTCTAGACGTCGTGGAATTCAGTGTCCCAGAGAAGTTACTGACCAAGACTGATGGGCCATGTTTCTCGTAAAGTGGGAATGAAAGGGGCCGCGGTTTAAACGTTGCACAAACTTGGACTACACCGGGTTTGAAAAGCGCGCTTGCCGGACTTTTTTCGTCTTGCAACTAGCGCCCGGCATGCCGCTCCGGTTTTTTAAAATTTATTAACCTGTTGTGTCATTCATTCGTAGAAAAAAAGTTTTTTTTTCTAGTTTCAGTCATATCGTAAAAGGCACTAATTACTCGAGTTACACAGTTCTGGCTCTTGTTTTGGAATGTTATGACGTAACTCTACCCTGCCATGGGTGTTTAATTTAAAGTCCAAAGATATTTACAAGACCATTACTGGGAAGAAAATTTTTATAATTGGCATCAAGAACTCGATCATTAGTAAGTAAGAAATAATCCAGATCACTACAATTATACCATTCGGAATCAGTTAAATCTTAGAAAGAGAGTTTAGTTTATTAACCTTTGGAGGTACAAGGGGTGGGGGTGGATGCCACCCCCCCCCTAAGGTTTTTCTGAGTTTTTTCCTAGAGAATAAAACATTAGCACCTGATGTTTTCAGTAGCTGTCTGTTCATTCCTCGCGCACATTTTGAGACAAGTTTAGTGTCAGTTGCTATGGTTACGAGATGACGTCATAAGTAGAGGTGGTCACTGAAGCCATTTTCGGGTGAAAATACATGTTTTTTCAACTTCTCTCAACAGTAAAATTAAATCTTGTGGCTAAAATCATGCAAAATACTTATCTATGGGTTATTAGTCATGTAAAGCACAAAAAATTACCATTTCTCGCAATTTTAACCTGATTTCTAATTCTTGGTAAAATCCAAGATGGCGACCATTGTTGGTGACGTCACAGGCCTCCAGCAGCGCCACCACCCATAAAATATACCTCATCTTGTTAAGGAGATCAAAGGCTTTTCAGTAAAGGTAAAATCGCTTCGAAATACTGCAACATATCAAAAACTCCGGTAAGAAGTTCCATCCACCCACCCCCCCTTCGCTTGTACCACTGTGGGGGTGTGAGTTTGAGTGGACGTCCGAGGGTTAACAGACTTTCATTTAAAAAAAATTACAAGAATAACAAAAATAAACAAATTATTAGGTGATAAAGTTATTTCAAAACGGATACTTCTCAGAAGGTTATAATTTTTTTCTGCAAGTTATATTTTAAATAAAGTGCATACAATCTGTTAGACGACTGTGCATGCATTTATCTTTTATTTGGGTGGAAGTGGGGAGGCTATCCAGCGTAGCTACACAACTATGTCTTATAAGTGGAGAAAGGATTGCTCGGGTACCTAGTGCTTGTTCTTTTATTTAAGTATAGTCTTTTGTCACGAGGTAATACTTAATATTCAAAGTAATTAATATCCATTAAATATCCCGATTTAGAAGAGCCAGAGAAAACAGCCTAGATTTTGTGACTTCACCAATGGTTTCCCCCGCGAAACGACGTCTGAGGAAAGAGCCCAGAAATTTATTCATACAGATGACCATGTCAATTCCCAGATATCGGAAGTTCTTCTGATTGGTTGAAGCAGATTTCCTTTGCGGTAGTAAGATCTACACAGATCTAGGGGCTAGTGAAACGTCATCAGTATGGAATTTCTGCGCTCCTTCCTCAGACGTCATTACGTAGGGAAACCGGTGGGGTAGGGTCGCGAAATGTTGGCTGTTTTTTCAGGCGAAATTTAAGACAGGCAGAGGGATGAACTGAATAAGGATCTGTGTTTTCGACTATCCTGTAAACGCCTCAACTTTTCCACCACTTGTTATTCTTTGCTTGAATTTCTTTCCCAGAGTATAGCATGTGAGCAACAGAAGCTCTAAAATTTCTACAAACGACAAAACCGACATTCCTATCCAAAAGCCCAGGGATCCGCCAAGATCAGACACAAAATTTGCCAGCTGTAAAATAGAATAAAATAATATGATAAAATAATCACTGCGTGTGACTATAGAAAGATCGTTTGTAATAACAGTTATTTATACGAAAAAATGTTAACAGAGTTCATGTCTCCTAGCGTTAAAAGATGAGATTTTTGACTACTTGGAACTGAAGAAGAACAAGGGGTGCTTTAACTGTGTCTGTTTCAATTCGTTGGCGGGGGCGGGAGGGGGGGTACAATTGTATCTTAAGCGGCTGTAGGTGTTTCGTGTGTAAAAGAGCATATCGCGATGTTTTTTTGGGTGTGCAACAGTGTTTCATCTCTCTGTCAAAGATGGATTTTTATACTTATTTTGTTTACTTACCATGGATCAGAAAGAGAGGACCGAGTTTTATGGACATAGATACTATATATATATTTCTTGATTAAGTAACTATGAGTGTTTGTATCCGGAAGACAGACTTTAAGAGAATTCTTTAGAAATCAAACAATAATAGAGACAAAAGGGGGGGAAGTGGGCAGGGGGACGACCCCTTCAAGTTCGCGTTCCCTCAGAATCCGCCCATGACCACTTGTGAAAAGAATAAGTATCGATTATGTAAGAAACATTTTTTCTAAAAGAAGGTTGCCGTTAGAGAAGGAATATAGGTTAGTTTGGTCCGAGCGACAGCTCGGACAACAGTTGGATTCTCCCTCTCCAGTCACACATTGGTTTAACATTGGCGTTCTGAGTTCTCCGATACTGTCGAAACCGGTGTCTTCAAGCAAGCGTGTACGTTCCTCTCTTAGTTTGTCTGTGTTGTGGCTGCCACAACACAAGCTTCGATGCCTCCTCCTCTTCGCCGTGCCTAACACAATGCCCAGCTACTCTCATTCTTCTTTCCTTGATCTTGCTACAAACTTTTGGAAAGTGACCGTACGGATCTTCATTTGCAATGTGGTCCAAGAGATGTTTAGTGCTGTGCGAAGTATTCTAGTATATTATAAGGTACCATCAATTTGCTTTTCCGCACTTTTGGTTAGAGTCCATGTTTCGCTGCCGTAAAGGTAAACACTTTCTACTGTTGTCAGGAATAGTCTAACCTTTAATTCCCTGCACAGGCTAGATTTCCAAATTTTGCCCAACTTATTGCACGCTACCGAGACTTAAACTTTTCTGTTTTCTTTCTCAAACTTTTAACCCTCTTTAGTGGCATGTTTATCTCAGGAATTTAAAGTACTTGTAAAAAATTATAAGTACCTTATACGATGGTTCCTCTGAAATAACTTCGTAATTAAGCTCTTCAAAAAATATGTTCAACTTTAGTACATTGTCTCTGTGAGAAACAAAAAAATGATGTAGGTATTTCAAATCTGCAGAAAACCAACTTTACTTTGTGTTACTTCATCACATTCTCTTCCTATATATATATATATTGTACACAGTTACCTTAAATCGTCACTACCATCTACTTCCTTCTTCCTCTCCTTTAGTGCTATCTTGTAAATATCCTGGCGTGTAAATTGAGAACAGAAATATAAGCTCAAATTACCGCTACATTAGATCATGTTTCTCAACATTGCGTTAACATCGTTTTTATTAATTAACACCTTAATCACGGATACCATCTGACATCATAGTCATGATCCTTCATTACATTAAAACACACAATAAATATGCAATCAGAATGATAATCAATATCAAAAATAGCAGTAAGCATGTCCGCTATAGTCTAGCTAGGACATTGCCCCTTATAGAAAATTCTTTGAACAATATACACGAACCTCATAACTTTTAGTGGGCCAAATGGAATAGGATGTGGTCAGTTTAAAAGTGCTTTCACTATGAGTGAAACAAATAAAAAAAATGAGATAGTCAGTAACTGCATAAAACCCTTGGACGAAAGTTGGGACTCGGGAGCTGATGCCACTATCTTCGTAATGGTGTTCTCGAATTTTCCTTTCAACGGCTGACCACTTTCTTCTTTTGCTGACAATCGGGTACAATGGATATGAGATATAATGTCGTAATAACTGGCGTATGAGGTCATTGCAGTGGGTGAGGTTTTCCGGCCACCTAGAACATAACACCGATTCCAAGAGATGGGCGCCATGGCAACTATTTTGAATGATGTCACAGTTTTTTTACTTATTCTTTTTGTCTAATTTTGATTTTAATTAATGAGTGTTAATTTGTGGAGTTCGTCACAAGCTACATCTATAATGCGCTTACAATCAACTCAGTCATGTCTTGTAACATGGCGAGGGTATAAATGTGCTTCTGCAGTCCGAGAGCGAAGGATTAAGTTAGAGCCCATGTATTTCCCTGTATCGCTCATTTTGCCATTATGGCCAAGTCATTCTACCCAGGGGCATAGAAAGAGTTAAGATTTTTGTAATGCTAAATTACCTGCAGAGTGGCGGACATGATTCAGAGCAGTTCAAGTTGTTGTCTGTAAAATCTGTCTGAACTTTACTGACACATCTTGCTGCAAATATAAAATTCCGCACTCATCAAAAAAGGGTACGGACGCAGGGTTTATTTTATAAACTGGTTGATCATGTGTTTTCGTCCATGGGTGCGCACTAGTGTAGCCCTAAATCACAATAGTACGTTTTGTTGAGTAACAGTGAGTGACTACACGGCCGGGTTCCTGAAACGTCGATTAAAGTTTACATCGAGGAAAATTTAATGCAAGACTGATTTACTTAGCATAGATTGCCCTTTAAGACAATATGGTTAAAAGTATCATTTTGTGTCACCATAACAGGATCTTGGACTAAAGGCTCAGTAATATCTTATAAGCTGGCTAGCTTCAGTTGCATGGATGTTCCGGACTCGGCGGGTTTACCATTTTGGACCACATTCTCGATCAGCTTCCATGTCTGGAAGCTTAGGTGGTAAAGGTCTTTAAGAAACCATGAAAAATAACATCAATTTCATATCTATTGAAAAAAGATCATCAGGAACGGGCTGCATGTAGTAATATAACAGAAAATCTTACCTTCTGTCTTGTTGAGTACGTCACACACCTTTGTACCTGGGGGTCTTGGGAACCTGTAATGCATACATCCACACTTTTGCAGTTGGTGGTAGGCCAGGCAAGATCCTTTGCAGGCCTAAAACCAAAAAAATAAATACATTACTTGCTTGCAAAAATATGTAGGTTTTTTTTCGTGTGTTTTTCGTTTGTGGCCATCATGAAGAAACAGACAAAGCAGGGTGAAAGCAAAACAGAGGTCAAACGAGAAAACCGTGGGGGAGGGGTGAGGAGAAAAGGCATAAGTCAGAGGGCCGCCTACTATCCAGGCTATAAAATATGCGAACATCAATTTCCCATGATACAATGAGAAATTTCAGACAAGCTGGGATTCTGTACAACTAATGGCGTTATGATGGTGTTAATGTGTTATGTTAGCAGTTGTTAACCTTGTTATCCTTGGAGTTCTATTTCCCTGTCCTTAGCGAAGCTCCATAACCCAGTAGCTAAGAAAATTTGATTATCAATCCATCCGAGAAAGTTTGGCAGTCACGTGACCGTAAGTCCGTCCGCCCGCCCGTCTGTCCACACCGTAAGGGACCTAATGTAAAATGTCACACTTTTTAGCTGGTGTGGTAGCCTACACCTTGATCTTGCACATCTATGTTGTGGTCAACTGACAGCTGTCGAAAAATAGTATCTGCTGACCTGTATCACATGGCCAAATCGGGGGCTCAGGGTCGATCCATCGAGGTTACGCGTTTTTTTGAAGTTCTACACTGACAAGTTACTAGTTCTCAACTGATTGCGGGCTCAACTCCAAGTGGATATTTTGCAATGGGTTCAAGTTTATTACTTGAATTGAATTATAAATTCATTAACGGGAGCCACCTTTGAACCCAGCCTAGTCTCCAGGGCTTCTCGGTTGCCGTCCCTTTTCTGTCGATATCCTGGTTTTGACGTAATTTAACCGAATATCGCAAACACCTTCCAATGGTCAACGCTATGGTTATAAAAGATAAGTCGAGGGATTTGAGCCAATCAGAAACGGAGACATTGTATTATAATAAGTTAAAACTCTTTTTACTTTGAATGTCTTAAAAGTGTAGTTCACCTAACTTACTAGAGAAGAATAGTTAGCTTGCAGTGGCTTTTTGTATATGTTTGCGTTATCCAGTGAGGAATTTTCCATGCACCGATTTCTTGACAGTGGATCCATTCTTTTAATAACAACCTGCCGTATTCAAAAACAAATTTAAACTTGAGTGGTCGGTTATTTAAACGAAGTCTCACTAAAACCACGGTTTTAGAAATCTTAAGACCTTAAGATCTCTTCCTTGGAGGGTTAGTCCACGCTTTATGATTTCATGAAACTTTTAACGATAATATGATGCTGTTTAGACAAAAGCGTTTAGCAGACTGAAAATGACTAATAACATGAACTGGTGGTTTAGACACTGGCTAATCTCCCTTAAAATAACCGACCATAGTAGTAAACCACGAACCAATCACCCTGAAGTTAAATTCATCCAATATAGAGTGTGATAGGAAGAAACTTATGCACATCAAATTGTAAGCTTCACTGAACGAGTTTGATCAAACTTAGCCATACCAAAGCTTTCGGTTTATCTTCATTAAAGGTTTTAAACTGGTTATGTTACGAGGAGTTGCAGTTTTAGATCAATTATGTGCTGTAGTTATTACTAAGAGCCTTAACCCGTAAAAAAAATCAAACATATTTCATCAGAGATGGGAGCATTAACAACTATTCACAACTTTTTTTCGGTTACAGTTGCAGGCACTGAAAGCATTAAAACTTGAAAAAGTTGGCCAAACTTTTTCAAGTTCTAATCAATGTCCATCCTTGACATCTGTTGCAACAGACGACAGGAAACATTTTCAATGCCTAAATATTGTCTTAAATAACAAATTAAACTGGACCATTCAATAGTTACGACGGTGCAAGGGTTTTTGATGGAGTTTTTTTAAGGTGTCTCTGACTTTTGAGTCTGTGGACAAAATCCTAAGATGTGACCATTTAAATGAAAGCTGTCTACCTTTACTTTCACATGGTGCTATTTGTTTTTCAAAATTTTAATAAAACGAATATGACATAGCTGTCATAGTCCCTTTTAAGCAAACCTTTCGCAGTCCTATCGATGTCGCATATCCTGGTGCAATACTTAATCCCTTTTCGAAAGGAAATGGCATTTCTCCCTGATTTGAGATGTCAACTCTAACTCCAGCTTCCTGTGTTATCCCTCCAATATATTGTCCCCGCTCAATATTCAGCTCAAGACTTAACCCTAAAAAGAAGCAAAATTAAAAACTGACTTCAGGGCGCTGCTACGTTTTTTCAAAAGGGAAGGGGGAAAGCGAAGGGGGGGGGGTTGGAAAAGCGGGATCACTCACTCTCTGTGCGCTTCCAATCGATGGTCGAGATCGAGATCGTGAGTATATTGGGAATCTTAGGGATAACAATATTGTGATGGCGACTGTTGAATTTTCTCTTGACAGCTCTGAATAAAAGTTTGTAGACCTCTCCGGAAACCAACTTCCGATTAATTCTATCGTTTTTAAACCAATTAAAATTGGTCAAAAAATAACTTTGGTGAATTCACATCAGTCCCAAGGGCTTGACTCAGGGCGTTTTTTTCTCTATCCCATTATAATACATTATTCTCTCTTGTCGATATTTTTTAGACGGCCGAAAACTCGTCATTCAAAGACGGTGAATTTTAGGATTTTAGCGTGGACTTTGGTTTGTAAAATGACCTTCTAGCGTTTTGACGAAAAAAGGAGAGGGATGCCTCCAAAATGGGTTAAAGTTCACGAGCATTCCAGGTCTCATCATTAGTTTCGCCCAATGCCAGACGGAAATCGATAGAAATCGAAGTTACAGAAAAAATTATTTATCGATTATTATCGATTAACAAAATCTATAACAATCGATGGGAATCGATAATAATCGATAAAAATCATTATTGATTTCCATAGAAAAATCATCGATATTAATCGAAGTCACAGTAGTTTTAGTAAAATCCAACTAGTTGGTCAAAAATATCGAGACAAAACAACCTTAGTTAGTTAAAGCTAGACTTTAGTCCTTTTATGTCGCCAAAAAGCCGGCGCTTTTTGCTATTAGTGGGCTATAACATATAGCCTATTAGTAGCTCAACCAATCAGAACGCAGCATTGATAATAGACCACTAGTTGGATTTTACTAATATCGATTACTATCGATTGATATCGATTATCGGCTTATCGATTAACTACGTTTGGCCGATGACAAGTGAGAACTTTTGTAACGTCTTCTTCTACATCCAGATCTAAGGAATAACTTAGAGACAAACTTAAGTAATAAAAGTTCCCCAGTACCGGACCCTTCTGATACTTCTGACGGGCTTCTATTTCATCGAATTTTTTATACAGTCCAACCTTTATGCGCGACCACCCCTTGTAAGCGACTACCTCCCATAAGCGACCACCTATCCAAAACATTAAAGTTTTCCCTCTCAAAGCCCTATACTGTCGTAATTGTTAAAATTTCTAAAATTAGCATGATAACTCATATTTACCATGTAACGGACCAGGCTGGTTTGATTTAAATATCTTGGCATTTCTTCCTGTTTCCGGTTTTCCTCCGTTGAATACAAAGCAGTTCCCGTAAGCGTAATGCCAGAAACGGCTCCAGAACGAACTCGAGTAATTCCTTGAAAGAGAGCATTAGTAGACTTATTGGCAAGGCTAATTTTTTGTAATATTCATCTACTTTTAATTAAAGAATTTTTACGTTATACTTAGGCACTTTAAATGTTAACTAATGATGCTGGAAGTAGAAATGACTTGTTTTCAAACAGGCAACGCTAAAACGAGCGGCTGAACTCGAGGTGTGGCGATCGGGTAAATAGAGATAAGTCACTTACCCGCAAAACACGCCTTTAAATGTGCAATGGACAACGAACTCTTCAAACTGATGACCCACGCCCATTAAATCGTGAACTTTATGTTTGGAAATTTCCATGCGCAAGAATTCCCTGTTAAGGTATTCTTTCTCTAAAGTTCCTGGGTCGCCGTCTTCATCTTCATCTTCCTCCTCTTCTTTTTCCTCCTGTTTTTCTTTCTCTTCTTTCTCTTCATTTTCATCGTCCTCCTCAGCTCCTGAAATTAATCATATTGTAAGTGTATTCTATACCCTTGTTAATTAACAATTAATGAATGAGGCTGAGTATCTTATGAAGAATTATTGAGATCTCGGAGGGTGTTATCCGCCTCAGCCTATGGCCTCGACGGATAACATCCTCGATCTCAATACTGTCTTCATAAGATACTCAGCCTCGACTCATTCATTAATTGTTAAATAAGATAACTAGGGTTTGAGATATGCGTCGGATGAAACAGAATTTCAAGGAAAATAGTTCATTCCCCCTTCAGCTCGAGAGATCAATTTTATTGAAAAAAAAAGTTGTTCTTAAGCTTTCAGGAATAATTAATTAACGAGCGAAAAATTTAAAAACTGCTACAATTGAAAGGTCTTTTGACAGGTAATTGAAGCGGACAACGTCGGAAAATAAGACCCTCTTTTCATTATGTTCTGATTCACCGCTGTTCAAATTGTTCTTCAGTAAAAGTTTAGCTTTTATTAATAACCGTCGGCCAGTTAACTCAATTGGAAGAGCGCCGGCCGGTCTCCTAAGCGGGAGGCCGTGAGTTCAAATCCCAGCCGTACCACCCCACCACGAACTGAGAAACTGGTGAGATCATGCTGAGCTAGTGAGCTTTAATTTGATTAAAACCATCTCTAAGTTTAGATTGATCATGCATAGTAAACCTTTATATGCCTTTATATCTCAAACTAAATACCAGGGGGCTGTGATTAGTTCTCAGTACACTGTTGCAAAGCACAAATCGAAGTAACTACAATGAGGAAGATGACAAAAAAGCTCAAAAAAATCAATCAAACCAACGTTATCAGTACCGTGCACGCGTAGGGATGCGGGGACATTTATTCATTGGAGGGGGAGGGGGGGTTGCAAGGATTGGGATTGGTCTTACATCTGATATGATTGGCTAGGAAAATGTCTCGTGGTTTGTGAACCAATCAGCTCAAAACAAATTAAAGCAATTGCGACAACGTCAGTTAACAAAAACAGCTCAAGTATGAAATAATGATCTAAAGCCGGTCTACTAACCACTCTCTAATATGTTCTTCAGTGATTCTGGCAAGTATTCTTGTACGTCGTCTTTTCTCAAGGGATTCATGTCACATATTGTTATGGAAGGAAAGTTGAGACTCTGAGAGAATTAAAACGGATATGGACAAATTATTTTTTTTCAATGCGATCCCATGGCAACTGTAAAAGAATCGGGAAAATTTTTGCTCGTGAAATCCGGAATCCAGAAAATTTTCTTGTGGAATCTGGAATCTGGGAATTTTTCTTGTGGAATCTGAAATCCTGGGTTTTGGAGTCCGGAATAAAGCTCAACTAACCGGACCGTAGTAATGATTGGAATCAGTAATCCACTGAAGTTCCATTGACAAAAAATCCGGAATCTAGAATCCAAGACTGTCTTAGATTATCTTACATGGGGCGATACCATAATATCCCAGCATGACTTTTCTTATTTTTTAATTTTATTTTTATTTTCTGGCCATATACCTGAGGCTGCATTTGCAAAACAATGAGTTGTATTGAGTACTTCATTTCTTGATGTTATGAAGCACAGCAATTTGTGGTGCCTAATACCTTGAATTAAGCTACAACAAATTTGCACTTGATTAACGGTTATAGAAATCGGAACGGCTTGAACACTTCATTAATAATCATGAATGTAATATAAAGCTTTTAAAACTTTGTTTGTTTTTGCTTGTGTGAGTGTGTGTGTGTTTGTTTTTTCTTTCGAATTCTTACATCAGAAATTCGCCCACATCATGTTGTTTTAAACAAGTTGATCATCAAAGTAATGCATGACTGAAAAACTCGTACCATTTTTATCATGTAACCGACTAACCCCTTTGCTGCTTAAGTTTAAGGAAAAATTTTAAAAAAAGGCGATTCATTACCGTGTCATGTTCTATAGCCACTCGAGTAGCAAGAGGACGTTCTCTGTACATCTGATAGAGATTTGGAATCTGCATCGTCAAAAATCCCAGCGTTCCCAAAATCAGTAAACCCCAGCATAACTTTCTGATCCAGTGGCCAGAGGCTACAACTCTTCCTGCACCGTGTACTGTAGTATACCCTAAGAAATCGTAAAAAAGAAGTGATACAGAAGGTCTATCATCTGCTTTCTCCTTTTCCATCCTGAAAATCAGTAGTCAATCCCAGTGAGAGATTCCTTGGTGTATTTTAATCTACGTTGAGGCGAGTAGTGCTTCAAGTTCAGTTACCATACACACTAAGCAGTTTGATATCTTGTTGTTCACACGCTTATAAATAACACAAGATTTCCTGCGCTTTCTTAATTGTTTCTGAATTACCTATGAATTAAGTAGCCGGGGTGGCTATAATGTTGTCATACGCTTTTTTCTTTAATTATTTTGTGAATGTAAGTCGCTACCCATCGGCAATCATGTCCGGCCTGAACATTGACACGAAAAAAAAAAAAAAAAAAAAAAAAAAAGAAAAGAAAAGAAAAAGAAAAAAAAATTTTACTTCAGGTCCATCGACCATAGTACGTAACGATTCACTGAATATAAGAAGGCTACAAATTTAGCTAGGCAAATGACACTCTAGTCTGCGTTACAGAAGGTTAAGAGCATCTGCGACGCAGGCAAATGACACTCCATTACCCTATTGCACTAATTTCCTGTGCTTATATAATTCTTTAACTTTGGACATTTGAAGACTGATTGTGATTGGACACAGAAGTACTTGTTGTCACAGAAGTACTTGTTGTCACAAAACATTAACTGCACTGGGGTGACTGCGAATGTTATTGCTTTGCTTAGCTTTCAATGCAGTAATAATTCCTACTGAGCAATCGGCTTAAAATTTCCAGTTGAGATAGGGTCAATTACAAAAATCCTGGGGCATAGAAACATCAACTTTTCAGCGAGCCTTTTTTTCTTCATTCTTTTTCTCCTGAGAACGTTACGCCAATATGACCATATCACGTAACAAATATCGGATAAAGCCGTTTTTATGAGTACGAGCCTTTCGACATTCACAAAAGACTTCATCCATTTTGATATCAAATCGTCAAGAACTGGGCTGCTCAAAATCTTACAAAAAAAGCAATCCACGGTAAGCGGCATGTTCTTCATGTTGAGCTATAACCAAATCCGATTTACAATACCATGCGTAGGAGTATTTTAGACACAAATGTCTCTCACAGGCTAGTGAATTAAGTTTTACATATTTCGATCACGATTTAATGGAAAAATGATCTGCCGTGAATACGGCAGAAAGGGTCATTAAAGGTTCTTACTGCATATACGGCTAACCTCGGCCTTACTTGAAACTAAACGCAATCTTCCCTTAATCAAGAACGCAAATTTAATTATTTCACGGCGGGAGGAAGAGTAGAATTTACAGATACATGTTTTAACGTCCACTGCAGATACATGAAAATAGTGCACATGGTTTTTGTTTTTACTATTTATTATTATTATTATTATTATCTCGCAGTATAAAACTTTGGAATGCTGTTCACATTATGAGTAGTATAGGGCGCATAACGTAACCTACACCACTTGAGAAGCTATACTTAGAAGTAAAAAAAGGTCGGTGCGAAACCTAATACAATCCTAATATACATAATGATATGAATCTCTCTACTTAAAAAGCCAATTTAAAATATTATTAAATTCTTATACTCTGTAAAACCTACGCAAAGACATGATGATATAATTATCTCTAAAATAATCAGCAAACATCAGCAAACTTGTGTTTCTGGATTTCTTGAGGAAAAAAAAAAGAAAACCTAAAAAATAGGAGTCCTTAGGGCCATAACTAAGTATTTATCTTAAATGTTCTGGCAATGTTCAAAGTGTTTGAGATGACTGACTTCTGCATCCGCTCAAGTACGCTCCGTGCTCTCGCTCCAAGTAGCTTCCTCACCGACTTCTCTAGGTGTTTAGAGTAACCACCCAGTGCGGCAATTATTACGTTGTACTGTTCAACCCTTTAACCAATGTACCTATGCTTCAGCTCCCACATCATGGGCCCATACTTGAGTGTCTTTTCCTCATCTTTCTTAGCTCTACTCTCGATCCGTAGGCAGCTTATTTCAATTGTGCAGACTTCTTTTCTCTCGTGGCTGACAAGTCGCGCGTCGATCCGATTTGCTCTAACTTCGTTGCGCTCTGCATAGATGGGAATATCCCAAATTATTATTATTATTAATTATTATTATTAATTATTATTATTATTATTATTATCATTATTATTATTGCTAATACTCTCAGATAAAGGTGTTGGCTCCGGGCAACAATGCAACCAGTTACCCAGGGGGAGCCAAGAAGCGTCCTTCAGTTTACTTTTGCGCCTTGGACTACATCTCTAACACTTTCCTAAGGATCCTTGCTGACCCCAAAAGGGCACCTCCCTGAATCAGTTCAATGGATGTGTCGACACCTATGGTCCTCAGATGTTCTTTTAACCTCAGTGGTATTGTCCCTAAGGCCCTCATCACTATGCATGGGCAGAAATTGAGGACAGTATGGCCGCTAAGCATGCGCATTACGGATGGCCTTTAAAAATGTCTGACTCTAATAACGATTTGTAAAGCGAGAGAGAAATTCTTAAAAATTACATTGAACTGAAAAGGAATTTCATACCTTCATATACTTTGTGCGAAGTTTTGAGGTCGTCGCTCATTTCCTCTCGGTTCCTCGCGCGGCAAATTAAACCAGCGCCATACAACATTCATATTGATCTCGCCATACAAACACTGTATATCAGCTGAAATTACCAATATTTAAGCGATTGTACGCGAAGAGAAAGGTGCAGCCGAAAACCTGCGAACGTCGTAGTACAAACTTGGGCCTATTATCTTTCATTTTAAACCATTCATTGTGTCCCCAATTAGCGTCAGCTAAATACATCGACACATGAATAAAGTTCATCATCATCATCATCATCATCACCAATTCTACGGCAGAATGTTGCATCCAAAAAGTTCCTCAAGAAGTTAAAGATATTGATGAAAACGAGCCAATGGCGCCCGAAATTGCCGAAGAAATGAACAGTTTTTGTCGCTTTTGCAGCACAAAACAAGAGTCCGCCATTTTTGAACATCAAAGTCGGAAAAGCTTACATGGAATATATTATTATACGTGGGAAAACCGCTGTTTTGGATAGATAGCAGCCTCCGATTCTATTTTTTATCTGGTAGGGTGTGATGTCCGTGACAACCCGTGACAACAAGCGTGACTAGAACGTATGGGCATTGCGCAACTCTTTTCTTGACGAAAGAAAGCTTTTGGTGCTTTTACATCGCCGTTAACGATATAAAATATTCTTTAAAACTTGATTCTTTACTTTTAACAACAATTTTGTCATTTCTGTACTAATATTCTCAAAGTAATGGAAAACAGGCATGAGCCCGCAAATTGACCACTGGCTGTCTCTGATTTCTGCCCATGGGGTATCACCTTTGTCCTTACGCCCACATCTTTCGGATTTCTCTCGCGAGAGCTTGATATTTTTCTACTTTCTCGTCCTCTTTTGCTCTCACCCCTCCATCATAGGTAATTGTCACGTCACTTAATAATTTGGCAGTTTTTCTCTCTTTTTTCAATGATCAATAGATCCAATCTCCTAGCCTCAATTTCATGGCCTGTTCGTATACTAAAATGCCATAGCATTATTATTATTATCATCATGTTTTTCTTTTTTTGCAGTTCTCACTGCCAAGTGCTCCGAGAAGCAACCAGTTTCCTTGGGAGCGGCTGTGCCTTCTAGGTTGATCTTTTGAAGTTCCTCGATATTGATGTTTCCAGAGATTTTTTTTCACGTATTTTCCCAGGCCCTATTTAACTTAGGCTAACCGCTCCAATAACAAAACACGCAGTTTCTGCTTTTGGTGAAATAAAAAGAGTCCAATTCGATTCCCCTCGCGACACTTTCACAAAATCGTGTGATCCCCTGCATGAAGATTCCCCTACCCCACCCTGGGCAATCAGATTAGGGAAAAAAATTAATTTACTTTTAGTCCCCAGTTGTTAAAAAAGTGGATTATAGCGCTATCTACTGGTCAAGACAGATCACTTAATCTCTCGAGTTTCACGTACAAATCAAACTGAAAGAGGCGACTGGTCCTGACGCTAATCGCGGCATTTCTTACCAATGTTTTTACATCAGTGCTTCAGTTCCCTTACCAGCCCAGGAATACTACATGGTCACGAGCTTTCTCATGCATCACAAACAATGTGTCTCATAGGAATAACCTTGACGCTTTATGGAATTCAGCCCCACCCAGTATTGGTACCAATACATCTCAACCAAAACGCTCACAGGCGCTTTCAAATGTCAGGTGAGTTGTCAGTTGCGATTTTCTTTATTATGATAAGAATTTACAGCTATTTATTTGGCGCCAAGAGAGAATGATCTCTTGCTGGGGGCTTAGTTATCAGTTTGGTATTTTTTAAGGATTAATTGCAAGAGATGAAATATTACTGGACCATTCGATTCAGGAGGTATAAATTGGCAATAACAATTTGCCTTCTGGTAAATCTGCAATGATGCAACATATCATAGCCCCCCTTTACTGTTTATTAATACACAAAAGTCTATTTCATCGGGCAGTCAAGCGGATAATTGAATGATTTCTAGTGGAATAATATTGGCATCATCCTTTGAATATTTGATCAATATAAGTATGATTATCAGAAAGTCTTAATTAGTTTTCTTAAAAGTAAATAACAGCTTTGCTGTGGCCTCGGCTGGCTTAAAGTGAAAACATCTCACAGCTGACAGCTCCATAAAGGACCCCTAGCCTCACTGTTAACAAGTTCAACCTGGCTTTTAATAATTAACTATACCTGTCCCTGAATGGTCCTTAAAGTTTCTTTTATTTAAGATGGAAAGTAAAAAAAAAAAAATTGAGTGGTCCTTCCACCATCGATTTCTTCCGTTAGCTGTATCCTTCTCCGGCCTGTAGATGACTATTCCAGTAATGGTCTGAGTTCTGATCACCAGTCATTGAAGGTAGCATGGAGATGGAAGTGCAATGTCTATTCAAGTAAGTATCTCCACACGCAGTGGAAAATAATTGTGCATAGAAACCCAAATCATGTTCACGTTTTGAGGCCTTTCAGCGACTTCAGGTTATAGATTAAAGCCATATAGGCTTAAGGCT